TAAATTTGTTTTATAAGTCTGTGAGTCTGTTTTTGTTTTATAAATAAGTTCATTTGTATCATTTTTTTAAAATTCCACATATAAATGATATCATATGATACTTGTCTTTGTCTGACTTATTTCACTTAGTGAGATAATCTCCAGTTCCAACCAACTTGCTGTAAATGACCTTATTTCCTTTTTTGTTACAACTGAGTAATACTCTGTTATATCTAAATACCACATCTTTATCCAGTCATCTGTCAGTAGACGTTTAGTTTGCTTCTATGTCTTGGCCACTGTAAACAGTGCTCCTGTGAACATTGGGGTGCGGGTATCTTTTGGAATTAAGGTTCCCTCTGGATATATGCCCAGGAGTGGGATTGCTGGATTAGGTGATAAGTCTTTTTTTGTTTGTTTTGTTTTGTTTTTTTTTGTCTTTTGAGGAATCTCCATACTGTTTTCCACAGTGGCTGCACCAAACTACATTCCCACCAACAATGTACGAGGGTTTCCTTTTCTCCACAGCCTCTCCGGCATTTATGGCTTGTGGACTTTTGAATGATGGCCATTCTGACTGGTGTGAGATGATAACATTGTAGTTTGGAGCTGCATCTCTCTGATAATTGAGCGATATTGAGCATTTTTTTATAAGCCTATTGGCCATTGTGTATCTTCATTGGAGAATTGCTTGTTTAGTTGTTCTGCCCATTTTTCGATTTGGTTATTTATTTTTTTCTTATTAAGTTGTATGAACTATTTATATAGTCTAGAAATTAAGCCATGGTCAGTCTCATCTTTTGCAAATATTTTCTCCCATTCCGTAAGTTGTCTTTTTGTTTTACTTATGGTTTCTATTGCTGTGCAAAAGTTTATAAGTTTAATTAGGTCTCATTTATTTATTTTGGCTTTAATTTCTGTTGCTTGGGTTGCTTAGATTGCCCTCAGAAAACATTGCTGAGATGTATGTCAAATAATGTTTTGCCTATGTTTTCTTGTGAGAAGTTTATAGTGTCTTGTCTAATATTTAAGTCTTTAAGCCATTTTGAGTTTATTTCTTTTTGGGTTTTTTGTGATTCTATTGTATGCTTTTGATTTGTGGTTACCTTATTCTTCAAATATATCAACCCATTACTATATCTATTTCCTTTAGACTGATAATCACGTAGGCTCCAACACATCCTAAGAATAACAAAGAAAAAACAGAAAAAAAATCTATATTTTCTTGCTCCCCTCTCCCATTCCCACCTTTTTTTATTTTGATGTCCTTTTTCATTTTTACATCTTTATGTTTATTCCCTTGTAACTCGTTATTGCATTTCCAACTATGGTTTTCCTGTTTCTATAGCATCCTGCTTCCTTTCTGTTTAGAATAGAACCTTTTAATGTCTCTGTTAGGTTCAATATTGCTGAGTTATCTCACCTCCCTCCTCCCCCCCCAGGCCTCTGAATACTCAGTCCAGGAAAGCTAAACCATTCTAACCTTCATCGGTTCTGGGAAAGCAATCTTCAGTGTGGGAAAAAACATTGAAAAATAATATTCTGTGCGTTTCTTTGTACCCTTGCCCAGAGATGAGAAACATCTGAAGGTGGGGGAAAAATGTTGGAGGTGGGGAACACAAAGTCTTTTCTCCTTTTGCTACTGAAGAAATGATTGCTTTTGTAATTAGTGATGATGTCCTTTAAATTGGTGAGATCGAGATTCCACAGCTTCAGCGCCTGTGAATAACCAGCCGGAAGAAAGCTCTCTAGGGCCCCTGCAGTGGGAAAGGCAGCCCCTCTGAGCACCTGTTGTTCTGTATTCTTCCTGCCTCCACACGGGTTCGCTAGACACCATGCAGGACAATGCAGTTACCCTAGGTGGAGGACAGGGAGACCCCTGCTGTGTGGCGAGCCACAGGAGCCCACACTTGAAGAACAAAATGTAGAGTAGTGGGGCGGGCGTAGGAACAGAGGATGGTTGAGACCCAGGATAGTGTCCTGGAGTCCAGCAGCCAAGGCTGGTGGGGCAGATGGGGCCGAGGGGCATAGGCAGTCCTTGAGGAATCCGAAGCAAAGATAGGAACCAAGAGACTGGATTCATGTGGGGGTACAGCGCCCCCTGGAGTCCGGGGGGCAGCTTAGCGAGCCCAGGGGGAGCGGGCACTTCCCCAAAGCTGGGTTGACAGGTCACAACCAACTCACTGGGGACCGGGAGGCACTGAGTCATTTTTAACTTTTTGTCCCTCTTCCTGGAAAAGAAACTGCTGCCTGTTAAATAGCCTGTGTCGTTAGTGAGAATTAAAGACATGAAGCAAGATTGCCTCAAAAGTCATCCATTGTGTAGTTGTTAGTAAGGGTCAAGGGCAAACTTGAATAGATGAAATGAAACATTCATCAGAGGATTTTAAAATCCTTTAAAATAAAAATTCTTGCTGCATTTGTTCTTTATTTCAGGGTTCACTTGGTGATAATAATAGTAACCAAAGCAATAGCAAACCCTACAGAACTCTGTCCTGCTGTTCCAGGAACGCTGTGTTCACGACAACCCAATGAGTTGACACCACTATGAGTTCCACTTTAAAGGTAAGGACATTCATTAATCACACGGCTAATAATGGCAGAGCTGGGACTTGAACCCAAGCTGTCTGGCCCCAGAGCCCTCTCTCAGGCCTTCACTGCAGCTCATCACTTGGCATGCCTGACACAGGCCAGCATTTAAGAGCAGAGTGACCTTGGCCAAGGCTGCTTCACTGCTTGGTCTCTGACTCCTCATCTGTAGAATGGGGGTGTGGGCAGCGAATTCTGTGAGCTCAGTGGTCACTTCCTCCAGCTCTGCTATTCTACTGCTTTGAGTTAGTTTAGTAAGTATCCGAGCCCCTACATGGCCCACACATGGGCTGGCGCTTTGCTAGGCTCTGGTTTACGGAGAAAAGTGAGATCAGCCTGCTTCTCCAAGGAGCTTGTGTCCCTCCACGGAAAGCAGCTGCGAGGCCCAGGCTCCCTCGCTGGCAGTCGGGGGCTGGGCAGAAAAGTCTGATAAGAGAAGATGGAGGCAGAGGCCCTCCGGGAACAGTGGTGACCACACAGCTCTCAGAACCGGGAGAATCTGTCCTGGTTGCTGAGAGGGGAGTCCTCATGAGGCCAGTAGTCCCCTGAACCTAAGCCCTCAGGACAAAGATCCAGCCATCCCTTCAGTGTCACCATAGAGCCAGTCCATCCACATCACTGTGCCTCTGTGCTCCTTTGTCCTGGGGCCTCTCTTCCCTCTACACCCAGAAGACATTTCTCCCTCTCTTCTCTGAGTGTCCCCTCACTTCACCCGTGGTCCCTGCTTCCTGGGTAACCATCTCTGGAGTTGACGCTTTGCCCCCTCACACACCCCCGTTTGATCAGGAGCCTGGGTTGACCTCCTTGTGCTAACTTTCCACCTTCAGATCATTGCTCTTCCTCTCTTGGGAGCACCTGGAAAACCCAGATCCTTTCCTAGCAGTGCCTGCCACCCTGACCTCCCTGCTCATCTGCCTCAGTCAGGAGCACCTGGACCACCAGCTCTGTATTGCCTCACCTCCTACCATCAA